GAAGACATACTATTACAGTGTGATAAATAAATGGCAAACAAGTAAAACCAGGTCATGTTTTTTTCACAATCAGATGAGATACAAATTCAGTCTACTTAGATTTGCCATTCAAAAAGTTCTCTCCTTGGTTAGACTAAGGTTTCGACTTCCCTCCTTAAACTAGGCTGCACTTTTGGCCTTGCCTAGGTCTCATCAACGCTCTTAACGAAATTCGAAAAAGATTACATAAGATGGCCCAATGACTTACAAATTACTACAGGAGAAAACTTTAAGAATACTTTTTGCGTATATTTAGATAATATATAATAAATTTTCGAATAATCTGCAATCTTTTTGTTGAACAAAACCTTTGAAAAAACCAATCTGAATTTGTAAAAGGAAATGAAAGTTAAATTAAGCGTAAAAAAGAATGAGAATAGTAATTAAGAAAGAAGACGAAAACAGATGGTAATAAAACCCACTCTTAGCCGTTTAACGGCCGCCAGACTGACGTCAAGAAGGCAAATTTGTCCTTTCCTAGCTATTTGGCAAACGGCCTCAGCGCTGGTAGCATAAGTATGTGTCTGGAACTGGCCAACTTCGATAAAATGCAAAGTTTGATGTGTTTCTTGATTTTTGTCGGGTGTTGAAGGAGTAATGTCTATCGGTACTTCGGGAGTAGACTTGGAAGGCAAATTTACGAAGGATGGAGATGGTGATGGTGAAGGTGGCCGTGATGAGTGGATAAGACTGAAAAGGGGAACATCCAGTGGCCCCTGTATGGCTGGATCATGGAGCCTAAGGTTAATGGCGTCGCTGACAAAGTAGAAGTCAATACCATCAACCTCGCCAGGTCTAGGTGGTCTTGTTGTGTCTTAGATTAGATAAGAGGAAAGAAAATCACAATTAGAGGCGATCTGGTTAACAGCACACATTCGAAAATGTTATGAAATGCATAATATCCACATTAAATAATAATTCGGGAAAAACGCAAAGTAAGCAACGAATTTGACCGAGAGAATAACTATATTTTTAAGGGTCTTGTTAAATGTACTCGAAAAAGCCTGTGGAAGTTATGGGACGAAATAAGTCAGGAGTCTGTCCTGCATGTCGAACCGACTAAACAGGCTATACGCAAAAGTAGTAGCATCTCAAATAATCAAATCAAATCAAACCACCGAGTAACAATAGATCGAATGAGCCTATATGCTAAAAGTAAATTTGCGGATATTGTCTCACTCTCGCAAACACAAGTGTTCTATGCCGCACGACCTTTTAGAAAGCGAAGATAAGTGAAACCTAAAATTACAGCTTTAAGGAAATTCTCCTACAGCTTAGAATGAGACCAATTTACGAATCACTTCCATTCGCCTATTTAAACGAAATGAAAGGTAGTGACATTGCTTCCCATTTCGAAGTAAAGTTGGGTGGAAGGAAATCGTTATGTGGTCCCACCGAAAACCGAGGGGTGACTGCCTCTTAGGGAAGATTGTCGTATTTTGCGAAGAATTCTTCGGCTCACCGTCCTACAACCCCGATGAAACTGTGCTAAGCTTCCGTTTGTACTGAGTCATCATAAGAGCAGGTATCCACACTTCACGGAACAGATATATACAAAAAAATAGAAAAGGTGAAAGAATACTGTCTGAAGAGTAAGAGTGATTACGTAGAGAACATGTTGTAGGCATCAGCTAATAATACAACATATAAAACTATAACTAGGGACATGAGAGAGGGACAGAGGTCATAATTAGAGCAACAATGTGTAAACAGTGGAGAACTGGATAAGTGGAAAATGAACGCACTTCTCCAGCAAGATGCATAAACGCGTATGGTCTGCCCAAAGTTCATAAGATAAGAAATATTGTAATAGAGGTAGCATGATGCATAAAACATCACGATTTATAGGTACACAGCTAAAATAAAGCTTTAAAGCATGGAAGCTTTCGTTAAGAATCTCTTACGACTTTATAAATTCAGTTTATGATGAGACGATAAAGAGATTTGCTCGTAAGTTTCGATGTAGCGTCTATGAGCACTAACATACCAATAAACGAGACAACATCCTTAAATTATAACAGGTAAAATTTTTGGCAATAATTCAATTAGATCCGACAATTTGGTGATGTATAATATATTGTGGCATGACTCTCCATTTCGAAGGTAAAGTTGGTTAGAAGGAATTCGTGATGTGGCCTCGCCGGAAACGGTGCGCCAAGAAGCTATTCACACACATATACTATAACAGTTCCAAGAATATCCCCCTACAACTTATGTTGAAACCAACTCACGAATTCCTTCAATTCGCCTCTTCAAATGAAATGAAAGGGATTCTAACATCAATCTGTCAAGGTAGTCTTCGAAACTCAGTTTTTACACATACCTACGAAGTAAACATGTATTTGCTATCAGAATAAACAGCATTATTTATAGAAGTGAGTGTGACAATACCAGAGGACGCAAAATCTTGGTCTTCATATCTTCAACATTATTTATAATTCAATTGAGTAGGTTTCGAAACTACTAGCAATCATGAATATAGCACGCACAGATAAATGATTGTCTTCAATGCTTCCTCGTATGAAGTAGCATCGTAATCCGGCAATAAATTTCCTGGCATTCTGGTTAGTCACAACATCAACCTAAGAACTTATCTCATCTGATGTCTCCTGATGCTTTACTATAATATTTTCAACAACTGCGTTAAAATCCTGCAAACTCTTATTCTCATTCTAACATTCAAGACTACTGCCAATGTCTGCAAATTATTCGTAATTTCTGTTATTTTTCAATTTCGACTAACGATCGTATCTGGCGTTTCCAAGCCTAAATGTTTAAAATCTTGGTTCGGAATGGTCTTACTACAAACTGTACATTTTGTAAAAATGTTACCCTTAAACTCACACTTACAAACTTGCCTGACTATTGAAGATGCCAGTAAATGTTCTTCAGGTGCTTAAAGGATGTAGTTCACTAACTTTCCGTTATACAACATTCTCAATTTTCCTGTGATTCTAATATTCATTGAATGCATGAAGAATGCGGTGTTGGCTATTTAAAAATTCCATATATATATTTTTCAATCATTCTAAATTAGGATATGCAGTACATTTGCTAAGAAGCAGGACTTTTATATATTTCCTCTTGATTCCACGCGTGAAATCAGCCATTTCTTTAAAATTTCAGAAATTATCCGCGGATTCTTGTTAGCATATTACTTAAGTGTCATACTCTGTCCCTTAATGCATTGGGAATTTGTGCTTTTCCTAATAAGCAAGGCTTATCTTAAGTTTATGACATGTTCAAACAACATAACACAGTTGTACGATCCATGATTTTATCTGAAAAGAACAGTATTGCGTGCTTTTAGCAAATTAGATCGTCGGACGTTGCATGATAAAACATGTCTGTTTTATCAGAACCAAATTTCTTTAGCAGACTGAATATTCTTTTAAATTTCCATCAATACTATCCTTTTTACCGTTTAGTTTCTTGAAATGATTGTCATACCTAGAATTCGATCAAGACAACCAGCCATCTGTTGCGGTAAGATCCTCGTGACCCAGGTTTTGGCTAATTTTTATGATTTACTTTTAATAATGGACCACATGATCCAGTTACAAGAGAGAAATATTGATTAAAGGCTTCGCCAGCATCTATATGCTTACCTCCATGTTTCTTTTTTTGGAGCATTCCCTATTGTCATTGACTTAATGCCCACTCTACTAAAAGTTTATCTTAATGGTGTATCAAAAGTGAGATTGTAAATTTCAGAATTCCAGTTGTCTCCACCAGCAGATAAATATATGAGTTAACCGATAGGCTTTTCATTTGATTGAATGAGAAAATTTTCAGGGCAGTTGCTAAAAGCTCCGTGGCATCTCAAGGGATCGCAGTCAACTGGTATGATTGAAATAAGCAAACATAATTCTTGGTATTTTCTCGACTTTGAATTGATAGTTGTTTTCGATTTGTTCAAAACAAACGGCCTTCCCGATTAACTTATGGCTCAATTAGCCGAAATTCATTGTAAATGGATTAGTAGGGAAAACATTTCACTCCAGGTGTCAAATAGATATTCTCCCGACTTTTATAAATGTAATCAAATAAGTAAGAGTTCACTTATTTTCATTCATTATATTTTCCTATATCAAATTAGTTTGGAATCATGTAAGATCGCTTTAATTTTAAGTCTAATTTCCAGAATATAGCCTGCAATTGGCGGAAATTTCAAGAGCTATACGAGTTTTGATCAATTCATACTTGCACATAATTAGAGCCAGGAATAGCATGATGGCGGAAATCAGACAAGCTAATTTAGCAATCATAAGGTAGGAAATAGGAGCATCTCAACTGGAGCATAACTCATTTACTGAAGTGCAATATAATAAAAAATAGATATAAAGTACAACAAACCTCTTTAGACTAACCCATTTAAGTGTTGGTTCAACCTCGCTTCGCAATTCAATCGGAGCAACAGAGAGACCTTGTGTAACATACCCAGTCCTGCAACCTCTGCCAAAGTAATCATCATGATTTTCAGTACCGTATCGTAGTCAGGGTCGTTAATGAAGGGCGCTGTCATTAGCACAGTTGTAACTCCGTGCTAAGGATGACACCTTTTATTGACGATGTCGGCAAAACGTCTGGGAATACACCAAGTGGACGGTTCGATGATTGAAATCATCATGAATAATATGCTATAGGACGCAGGAGTAAGTACGCTCCCCAAGGTCTTCCAGCCGTTCCAATCAAGTTGCAAAAACGAGGTCAAACTAATGCTATATAGCTTAAGGAGACTGCGACAAATAAAAGGCCATTAGCTTGATCTTCATATCTATTAACTATTAAAGTTTAATTAATTTGTAAATGAGCAATAGAAGGTAATATAAAAGCTCTGTAGAGAAATAGATAATTCTTTAAAAAACTCATTCGTCTGCGGCCGAGAAGCTGACTTATTGCTAGTACAACTTTCCCTGATCAAAATGACAAGATTCGTCGGTTTTGCTCCTTAGCGTGTAACGCTGTTCCAAAATAAGGAACCTCTAAGTTTTAAAAAAAGAGATCCACCATATAAAGAAGGTTAAACACAGAGCCAAAAATTATTTTAGCAGTTTCGATGGCACGATTTTATGATTGTATTAGCCAAACGCACTCCAGAAAATAAAGTTGTGGAAGTTATATTGATTACAAAATTCGATTTCGCTAGAACTGAAAACAACCGCGAGGCCAATCAGAATGAAAAATTCAAATATCAGTCCTTTATTACCCCCATGCGACCGAAGGTAAATAGAAAAGAATACACTTACACTTAGTCCAGAGGAGCATCCAAATATCATTAAGTAAATCCAAGCAAGCATCAAATCTTAATCCATCAATGCGTATCCTATACTTTACCTATAACGATAGGCTTCATGAGTAGGTTCAAAGAGTGGCAGTAGTATCTTGACTGGCTCCCAATTTACCTATTAAATACGTCAGGCATAGATAATTGATTCAAGGAAGAAGTGGGATTGACACCAAAGATGTAAGCTAAATACATATATGGTTATTTTGCAATTAAGCAGCATGGTAAGGACAGTTTAGGTAATTTGTTATTCTTAATTAACTAGAGGAATAACAATATTAAGCTCAAAACATACAGAGAAGGAAAATTGTTTATCGCTTTCGTATGCTTTGTTTATCAGAGGTTGGACAAAGTTTTATATAGGAGGCCAACAAATGCTGGCTTTATTCTTAATTTCTCGAAACATAATTACAAGTCAAAGGTTGGTATCTTAGACTAAATGAATATTCGCTGTATGAGATTAGCCAATGGAATAACTGTAATTAAAAAGAATTAAGCCTAGGCCTGATTAAAAATAACATTTTGTTTTTCGAACCAAGTATTGTTTTCGTGACTACCAATAAATCCTTAATATATGTATTCACCCAATTCCGTTTAAGGTGATGAAGGACTGGCAGAAGAAGAATTTTCCCACAATATGAGTTGAGCTGACGTTTCCATTGGATTTCACATAGCCTTGCTTTCCTAAAAGTTGTTCTGTCGCGGTTAGACTCCCGTAAAGGGTGTTGATAAGACTGATGCGAGGTCGAAACAGCAGTCCACCCTGGATGATAACAAATTTTGGGAAAGCAAGTCTATGTGAAATTCAGTGGAAACTTTAGCTTAACTCATATCATTGTGGGAAAATTCTCAGTCTACCAGTCGTAATGTTAAATAATAATTACTTATTGAATATATGAAGACCAAGATGGTGTGTGGCCTCCGGGATTATCGCAGTCTCCTTTCGATTTATAGAAATGGGTTGACTTCGCTGTCGTAACTTGGTCTTGTTGTCCGGGTGAATTAATAGAACGCACCTAGTCCGAAGTCCTCTGACATAGTAGTCATCATAATGTATTAAGTCCACTATCTGATGCTTGGAGTTATGATAACTACTATGACAGAGGACTTCGGACCAGGTGCGTTCAACTAAGTCGACCGGACAACAAGACCAAGTTGCGACAGCGAGGTCAATCCATTTCTAAGAACTACTTATGCCTAACTGATAGGTTTAGAGATAGAAAGGATGTTGAACCAACTGAAAAAGTAAAATGATTCCTCTAGTTTCCTCTTGATTCTAATTACAGTCCCACTTTCAATACATCTTAGTTCAACCTTTCTCTCTCTAAAAAAGACAAAAAG